AATCCAGTCCGAGACATTTTCTCTCTTTTACACTATTTGTAACAGCTACAGATTTGGCCTTTTTTCCCTGTTTTTGTCTTTTTCCTCTTATCAGTTTTCATGATTCAGCAGCAAATAAAACTCTTTACAGTAAAGAATGATGTCAACATCATTCAAAACCTTGCTGACTGCTAATCAATGAGTATTATACAGAGAATACACTCAGCAATAGCATCAAAATGATTCACTTCTTCTTTAACCTTAACATGGTTTTTGCTCATAGTTACATTGAATATATGTGGTTCCAATATACAACTGACAATATTCTTTAAGATCGATACCCTTTATGTCAGCACAGCAAAGTAGATCTCAAAATTAAGCAATGGTGATCATAGTTTTGGGAACATTATTTAACAGAAGATGGATAACAGCTAAGTCAAATATAAATAGCTCAACTGAAAGCAATCTTGGCTGAGCTAAATACTAGCAATATCAAATTTTCAATGACAGTACATTTGCATACATTCGTCTTAAATTAAGATGAAGGCTAAAACTAATTTTGATTGAAAATGAGAAGGACTAATTCCATCTATCCTCCAAACCAATCATGTTCACAAAGTATTTTCAAAATCTGGAGACCCCACAAAAATCACATTATCTCTGTTAAGACTGTGAACTGTTTAATCAATTTCATAAGGATCAATATGTTGTAACTTGGCTTACTTCTGTCTTGACCTAAGGGAAACACCAAAACAGATCACAGTCAGAACAGTTCAAAGTAGTTCAAATAGATGGAGGGGCATTCCTATCCTGTCTGGGTCTGACCCCCAAACACATCAATCCAACCAACGTATCCATAAGAATAACAAATGATAGATTTGTAAAAATAGATAAAGTTATGTGTTTCTATATTGTTAATCGTATAGTTGTTATTGAAATATAATCTTTATTATATTTGTTGATGATATGTAATTTAAATTTCTCTTTAGATCTACTGATATAATTTTTATAAACAGAATATGCCAGAGACATACCAGGTCTGTGTGCATGCATCTGTAAATGCTCATGATTTCTCATATTCATTCATGTGGTTACTTGCAAATGGAGGTCAGGATACCTAAACATAGCAGGGATCCATTTACTGTATTTTATTATGCAGTGGAACTCTGACACAGAAGAGCATTCTCCTATAAATACAACTGCAGATAGTTAGCTGGATATTTCAAAGATATTAAACAATCCTATACGTCTGTGAGCTTTACAAATCAGCGTGGTGTGATCTCTGACTTCATCAGCTTGGGGAGAAAACTGCAAAATGTAATTAAAAATATACATGTTCACATAGTCAATCTCCTACCTAAACTCTTTTGCTTACCTACCCCTTAAAAAAAGCCTGGAAGCTTTGGGGTTCTATGCCTTATTTGAGCTGTTCTTAGTAAAGACTGCTCATATTTTTAGAGAAATCTCTTACATGGTTCCCAGAATCTACTATGGCCTCCCGGTTTGGGGATCCCGGCCTTAAGTGCTCCTGGTGCCTTCACTTCCCACATTTTTTCATTCTCAACTTTCAGTTGTTTGTATTTTTAGGACGGTTCATGTACCTTCCTCTTGATGTTGTCAACACTTGAAATTTCTTTGTCACCTATTTCCTATATATTCTGTACACTAACTCTGCCGCCTATATGCAGCATCTGTTTGCAGTATCGGCCCACAGCGTTAGTTCAGTCAGAGGGGAGTCTGTGCACACCCTGCAGCTGGTGTCCTGTCTGGTGTGGTAGGCCTGGTCCCTATTGCCCATGTGCTCGGGGCCCATTCTTGAACTGCCATGATTAGTGCCTTTGTCCCGTTTTTCAGGACTTATCAATTGCACTCGGCTCTTCTGTTGAGGGTACATGTTGTACAGATGCTTGTCTTTAGTTTCTCTCACTCAGTTCAAACAAACAGTTTGATGTTATCCTGGTAGAGCAGGCGGCTGGTTGCTCCTCTATTTCAGAGCCAGTCTCTATAACCACTCTTTAAGATGATGCAGCTAATGGGCTACAAGCCTATGCAGAACAGCAACAGTGAAAGGGTTTGTCCCTGGCACCTGGTGTTGACCGAAATTTATTTGGATTTGGTTGTCAGGGTTGTCCTGAGGCTCATTTATACTCAAAATTTATTTTGGGGTCAATTGTTGAGGCAGTTCTGACCAGAATACATCAGGTGTGACCAGCAAAAGGAGCAAGCAAGAAGCGGACAAAACTGAAATGGCACCCTTTTTTTTTGAGGAGATAGAAGATACATTTGTGAACAACTACAGATTATATAACCTTACCTGGGCATAGAACATAGAGCTCCTCCACTGGTGTCATGTTTGCTATTTACTGAAACTGGCATGGCATTTGGAATTGAACTCTGAACTGCTGTTAAGTAACGAACATACCAACAAAAATAGTATAAATGTGAAAATTTGAATAGTCATAAATATGCTTGAAAAGTTTAGTGATATGAGCATCTGAAATTTTCACAAAATAGATTTGTTTTCAGAGACATGCAGAAAAACATAGAACCTTGAGAAAAACAAGTATCAGGACAGCTCACACCTATTCTGACTATGATGCAGGTCACAGTACAGATGAAGGGAATCCTGACATTTTACTGTCTAGAGGGACGGAGCCACAGCCCACTCTGCTCTCCTGTGGGGTGACCAGGGACAGCAGGAACATGTTGCCACCCTTAGAGTGCATCTGACTACACGATAAGCCTCTCTCATTCTCCTCACTCTGCAAGTCGGGTTACCTGAAAGCAATTGAAAAAGCCTCCAAAACATCCCAAGATGGACACACACCAGCCTTTCAGGGTAGCCTATATTTAAATTGAGGAGGTGCTGGGGAAAATGGAATGTTTGAGAGTCTGGATAAAAAAGGGTACGCGCAGGGAGCATATCGTTTGTTTGTACTTGTCCATACTGGGAAACCAATGTTACACCATTCATGCGGACCAACTACAAGATGCCAATGGAAGACATAAAAAAAAGAAAACACGAATGATTTTATAAATAAACTAATAAATAATTACTTGTGTTTAAATCTGTGTTTGAAAGAAAATGACAGATAACCTTTCAGTTCAGTTACATATGTTGTTGAAAAGGCTATTCTAAATATGAAAAATACTTACCAAAACACTTTCAAGTGTAGCCATGTTTCAACACTGAATTATCACCAGTATTTGAACAGAAATGCCTTTAAACTGCAGTTACATTTATAGGATAATGGTTATATCAACAGCTTCATTAAGCCCACTCCCACATTCCAATGAACAAATATGGAGGACTGATGAAAATTAAGCATAGCCCTTGGAAGAAAATTTCTTCACTTTACATAAGCAACACTTTGCTTTAGGGAGAGGTCGTTTATGATAAAGACCCATGACACATTGCATGAGAGCAACATCAAACTGAAAAAAAAGATAACCTCTGTGCTGTCCATTAAAAAGCAGCCCACTGGTTTTAAACAAAGCCATATGGCAAACACCGCAACACTCAAGTGTCTGAGAGAAAACATTTCAGGTTAAAGGGGTTAATCCTATTTTTGTTGTCACCCGCTTCAATGAACTGTCATAACAGCGTTGTCTTTGCGAGACACAGCCAACAGGCACACTGCAAGCACATCAGTGACACTGGGGCTGCGCAAACGCAGGTGGCTATATTTAGGCGAGGCGCTCTGTTTTATCAAACGGAGACTAAGAAGATTTCATCAGAGGTTGAGGAAAATCTCTCCAACCTCAGGGTTGAAAAACAAAGGGATTTACTAAATACCTACAAAGGGGAGAGAAGAAGCATCAACCTGAAATGAGTCAACCTGACCTAACACTGCTAAAAGAGATCCATCAAGAAGATTACAAATAGATCTACTGGTGGTACATCAAGGTAAAAGAGTTGTGATTGTGTAATATGTGGAAAATATGTGATACTGCAATAGATTTAGAGTACAATTTGTGTGATTTAGTGATTGTGACTTATTATCCAGTATACCCTCTCACTTGTGTTACCCATGGAGAGAAAAAAGTACTTTCTATACAGTAGTATAATTATTTTTGCCCAAAATTTTCTCTGAAACTTTTCATGGGAAAGTTATTCAAAACAAAGAGGAATAAGGAATAAGGCAAACAGTTAATTCTACCTTTTCTGAATTGAGTATTGATGAAGATATACACAAAAGCTGCTCGTCTTTTTTTAAACACGTGCAACTAGATGACTTATTTTTTTCTTCAAATACAGGTCAAAATGTATTTACAATATTTGATAGTAAATTAATGTAATGTAATGTCATCTAAAATATATGATTAAAAGATACTTTAACTAAAATAAAATCAGTGGATCTCATCTCGTTTCATTTATCTGAACAAACAATAGGAGATAAAAAGCAAAATGGGACCAGTGAATTTATTAATAAAATGGAGCAATAATCACTCAGATTTTCATTTTTTTCCTCTGAGATAAAGTTTGATCACTGAGTCAATAACCTGGCTGACCACTTACAGAATATTCTCTTGTGTTGGAGAGTCAGACCGAGGCATTCAAGCATATTCCCTTGGTCCACTCACTGAAGTGAGTTGAGCTTAAATTTCCTCTGATGTTTGAACAGCTCACAAGTGCACACTTTAAATTGCCACAGCCACTTTGTAAAGTGACCAGATGAAATCAAGGAACCACCTGAGGAGGATATTCTTAAGAAGTCAAGCCTGTGTTTCCTGTCTTGTTTTCATACCACTGGGATTCCCCCACAGCTTCACAGAGCACAGCCTGCTACCTTCCTCCTCTGTGGAACACAAACAGAGATCCAGTGATTGGCTGCAGAGAAGAAGATCAGCTGGTGCCACAAGTGTACATTTGACCAAGAAATGCCACTATCTTGCCACTAACTGCATTTATGCTTTTTTTTTACCCCATCTCATGTCAAGTCAAAGTCCATTATGCACTGTATACATATAATGATGCACTGTATATAATGCACTGTGTAGAATACCTTGTGCTACTCAGAATGGACACCATCCCCACATGCCCTTGCTGTAGGCTCAACCAGTGCCGGGCCATTATCTTCACCACTGCAGGTGCTGCATATGGAGCAGACACTATAAAAGCCTTTTTAGCTCAGACACAGTGACCCGATGTCAAAGGCTGATGTGGATAAAAGGTACATGAAAACAGACAAAAAAAGAAAACGAAGCAGAAAGTTTTGGAACACAGAAAATAATTATATTACAGCTGAAGAGCAGGGGCTGAAATCCACTTTTGTGTGGTCTTCTGACATCTTTATATGATTTTTTCTATACTATTACATACAAATACGATAAGTTGGAATAGGGGGCTGAAAAGCAACTAATTTTGATATATCAGAATTATTCTTTTAAAAAGAGACTAATTCAATTACCCACTGTCATATATGAACATCTGTTTTCAGGTTCTTGCCAACTACTCCACAATGGTACTATAAAGATTGTACAAAAAAATCATTGCAGTCATTGTTCTCGACATCCTGTGATGAATAATATGAAACTGAGGCAGATAACATGATAGAAATGAATGAAAATAAACACTAAGCAGACGCAGTTCAATGCATATCGCTAGAGTAAGTTGTTGTTTTTTTTCATCCCCCCCTCCCAAAATCTTACTAATGGAACGCTCTACAGCTGATGTCAGTAGTTTGGTTAGATTTACATTTAGTCGGGAGGCTTTTTGGCTGCCTTCCAACAAAACAAAAAACTAGGTAACTTCATTACACCAAAACCTGTGTGGAGAAAAACAGGGGACACTCGATTGACTATTAAGATTGAGAAGATAAATCAGAAGTGTCACCACACAACAGAGGACGGTGAACAATCCGTCTCTCACCCCTGCATGTCTCTTAAACCAGCTATTTGTCTGAGTCTTCTAGACACCCAGCGTGTGGCAGGGCCAGGCCAAACACATTGATCTGTTAAAAGTATTTCCTGTGAATTGCTGCAGCCTCTCTCTCTCTCTCTCTCTCTCTCTCTCTCTCTCTCTCTCTCTCTCTCTCTCTCTCATGCACACAGACATACACGCACAAACACACACACACACACACACACACACTACTGTATTCTCAACAATGGTCTCTGGTCCTGTCTGGGAGACCCCTCTGTCTCTAAGCCTCTGCATCTCATCATATATTTGGGAGGATAAAAACTGAAAGGAGGTCTCCTCAATAAAACGCATCCCTGTTACAATTTGTGTTTTGCCGAAACAACCAGAAAAATTATATAATGGTATGGTTCCCTAACACTGTTAACTCCTGAGTTAAAAAACAAAAAAACATGATGTCCTCCTACAAAACAAACAAGACAGGGCACAGACCAAGTTTGATGCTGGGCAGCATATGGCCAATTGTAACAGAACAATCAGTGTATAATTTAAAATAATGGATATCCAAAAACGTATTTTTTAAAGAGCATGGTACTTCTTCAAAAATTTACCAATAGACAGTGCTAATATAATAAAAAAAAGAATATTTCTCAGCCTCATTCATTAGCAAATGAATGCATTTTTCTGATGTCCAGAGTAAAAAATATTAATACATAGGTCCAAACAACATCTGATAGATGGCAAAAATGTTAAAAAATGAGTTTTTTGTAAAGATGCCTTTACAAAACCATTACCCGTATTACACATATCTAAACTATCCCACAGAGATGCCAATATACTGTTTTTAGTCCTTGTGACAAGGAGGACTTCCTAATGGCAGTACAGACAGATACCAGGATGCAGAGCGAACAATGACACAGCAGCTTTCACACAACCAGGACATCAACGAGTACCTCCACCCTCAGCTGTGGAGCCCTCTGCCTCCACAGTGTGGGCAGCTAATCTTCTTAATAAGGATGGGGTCTATCAACAGGTACATTTCCTCCATGCTCAGATATCAGCTACAACAAAAACGACAAATCTGCATTCATGAAATTCTCAGAATTCATCCCAATAAAACTGTGCGGGGACACGCTGAGTTTCACTGTGCACATAGTCTTTGTGTGCAAGCAAGGATTTGCCCTGTTGCCTGTGTGATTAATGGGGATTCTATTTGTGTAAATACAGCTGTGACCCTTACATGGTGTCCAGACTCCAAGAGTAGCCAGCATGTTTTCAGAGAGGGACAGGACACTTGACAAAGCCTTAGGTTTACTGACCAAAGCTGTAAATATTTCATTCTGAGAAATTTGGTGCAGTTTATAAAATTTACAGCCAGGCTAAAAGTAATTTTATTTTCACTATTAAAATTCTGTTGAGAGAGATAGAAAGACAGCGACGGCGTGGGAGAATAAAACATATCGACAGGCTGATGTAAACCCCAGGATTGGATGACACGCCAAAATCAAAATGATTTAAATACACATACTTGCTTCAGCACACTCTTGTAATTGGCTCTGAACGTCTTGGAAATTGTCTGAGCTGCTGTCCTTGTAATACTGAGTACCTTAAATTCAGATTCAGATTTAACATTATGTGTCTCATTCTGTGGTCATTTCCTGAAGCAGCTCACTGGTGCCAGGTTCACATCTTTGCCCATTTCCAATCTAAGCTGATAAGAAAAAGTACAATCCAATTTCAGGAGGACAGGGGATGTGAGAATCCACCTGGGAAACAGGCAGGCCTGAAAAGGTCAACCTGTGTGTAATAGATGGAGCCGAGTGTCCGTGTATGGGAATGACAAGGCTAAGGCTTTCGCATACATGCAGACCAGAAAATAAGATGTGTGCTTTGGTTAAATTTCTTCCCCAGAGGTTTTCATTTTGGTTAAATATTAAAGTTTTTCCAGACAAATTCCAAATGAATTTTTCATTAAAGCTCACAAAAGATTACTAGTTTAAAGCTGAGACCCAAACGGGAGGGGCTGTTTTGCTCTGACCCACAAAATACCGGCCATGTGGCTCCAAAACTGGCAGAAACAAACAATAAAAGACTTAGGAAAAAGTAGTCTTAATATTTCTTGAAAAAAAGCACCCTGAAAAGGAAATATGAGGTAGAAATCATGGTCTACACAAGCCATTTAAATCCCCAAAGCCTTGGTTATTCATTGCAATACAGAGAAATACCACAATTTAGTTATATTAATAACTTGTCATGCAAAGGTTTGAATCATTACAGTTTCCATTATCAAAGTGAAGAACACCCTCTTGGGTGAGACAAGATGAAAACCACAATACGGCTGCTAATGGCTTTTTTAGAAAAAATATTACAAGTAAAAAGCTTAATTGATGTTAAAACTGACTTCCTAAAACGAGATCTATAAGCATCTTTGAGTGGACGCCGTGGCTCTGTTTGTCTATGTATAGATTGTTACAGCAGCATACTGCTGATCAGCGTGTAGGCATAATAAATGGGGGGTATCGTCCAAAGTCTAGCACCTCGAGACTGTGCAAGAATTGGAAGGAGTAAGGCCTGGAGCAATGGAGCGTAAAAGCCACGATCCTGGACAAAACAATAAAAAGGTCCAAGAAAACCTCATGTAGGTGGCCCCTAGTTGCAAGCTGCTAAGTCAATGCCTCAGGCAGATGAAACCCAGGGAAAGAGAAGAGGAAGAGCAACAACCATCTCAGACGGGTAAGCCTCCACACAGTGTGTACCAACCAAAGATTAAGGATTTGGCTGATACTGAGAATTATTATCAGTGGAGGAGGAAAAGCCTGGCGTTAAAGCATGGAGGCACTAATCATGGCAGCACAAGAACAGAGTACAAGAGCAACAAAAGGCCGGAGTCTACAACAGTAACCCTGGGACTTGGGTCGGAGTCACAGATCCAAACTCAACCACTGATGACGTGGAAATTATTTTGGAGGAGAAACTAAAACAAGAGATCACAGTGACTGATGTAGAAAGAACACAAGAAGCCTGAAAAATCAAAAGGCTGAAAATGGATGCTGAAAAAGATGTTGGAAATTGAGTCAACAATGGGGCTAGTTGTATTTGAAGCAGTGATAGCTGGGCATCTTGGTCTAGACGCACACAATCCTAGGAACAGATAGGATACTTTAGATAATGTGTATTTTTCCAAATAACACATTTTGACATTAATACATGCTCTATATAAAACTTCCAATTTCAGCATAAGCATATGTTTACTGTTTTTAATAAAGTATGCAAAAATAGATAAGGAAGGGGCAAAACATATGTATGTTGACAGAGACTAGTGACAAAGGGGATTGGATTACTCAGAACGCACGTCTGGATAGTTATTTTATCCTAAATAAAGTGCTCACACTGTTCTATTCTCCAGACAGTAAACTAGAGACTCAATTGAATTATTTTTCTGTCATAATGTTTATCACTGTACTTGGAAAGCTTACAGCCCTAAACTTACTAATAGGTATGTGCAGAAACACGGTTGACTTCGGGGATGCTGTTGGTTTCTACTGTGTGGTGTAGATTACAACATCTTCCAGAATCACTGTTGGTGTCAGCCTGAGCCTAGCTGGTGTGTGCTGCTGTTGAATGGATAGACACTAATGATAATTAGCAACTCTGGGTCTCGCAGAGTGAAGAGCAATCACATCTGCCTGTTTTATGTGGTGGTTGGAAAACAGCACTGGGGTTTCATGTCTGCTGTCAGCTAACAGAGAATGCTGTAAGTGGCCTTTTGAGCTGTGAATCGTGGAAAAGGCTTATGGGTCTGTTGAATGAAGCTGCTTCTTATAAAGAATCCTTTAAGCATCTGAAGTCACCATAAAACTAATTATGCACTATATTTTGGGCCTCTAAGATCCCACTCTCCAAATCTTTATTTCCTCTGAACTTTTACAAGTCATGTGATTCTGTTAGAATATTTTTCTTTTGGATTGATTAAAAATTGTTGTTGTTGAATCAGTTTTAAAGGGGACTTTACTTCGTAGAATATGAGTTGATAATGTGGAACCAGCAATTTCATGAAATTTGACTTTAAGTAGCAGTCTTGTAATTTGTTCCCAACTTCAGGTTTCAAATTCTGATTTATAATTACTCACTTAATGTTGCAGCCTCTTCTATTAGAAGTACAAGCTTTGGTTATAAGTACAAGTCTAAGAGTTTAGAGATGATGGAGGGAATTGCAACATGAGTTCTG